TGTCCAACAAAGGGAGAAATGTCTATGTCAAGCAAAGAAAGCAAAGCAAAGAGAACAACAAAAGTGAAGAAAATGCATCTTATTTATTCACAAAGTGGCTAAAGCCCAAATTTGACAAGTCTTTGAAAAGGAATGCTCAAAGTCTAAAAAAGGGAAAGAATACAAAATGAACAACATCACATGTTGTTTTCAAACCAAGTTCCCTTTGCAATGGCTTCAAACTCAATTTCAAGGTCTTGTTGCATCCTTTCCACTTCAGCAACTATCTCAACAGCTACAACTTTGGAGTTTTCCAACTCTATCAATTTTGCTTGGTTGGACTGAAGTTGTTCTTCTGTCGTCTGCCTCTTGTCAAGGAGCAAATAATCTTACTCTCTAGGGATCCCTTCTTCTTGGTGAGTTCATTGATTTCCTTTGAAAGAGAGTCATGGATGATATGATTTGATGATATCCCCTTCTGTAAAGTAGCAAGAGATTTATCTCTTTCTTCAACATCCAAGCTGGTGGAGACCTCATCTCGTTTTGCTAAGTAAAGATTTACCTTAGATAGGTAAGCATCCATCGTCTTGAGTAAAGGTTCAACATCCATGAGGAAATAGAGTTGAAGTGCTTCTGAAATTGCAGAAGATCGCTCTGCCCACCACTGTCCAAGCCCAGAAAAGCCATTCTGCAAGCCTCGTGAAAATTCCTCTTGCACATAGTTGCTCATAGCTTTAAAAAGGATGGGCTTCGCTAGTGCTTGAGAGCTAATTGGTTCCAAAAGCTTTGTGATGCAGGAGAATGTAGGCTTGAGTTTCAGTGGATTAGATGATGTCATGGCAGGAGGATTAAGTCCATTGGTTTCCTTCACACTTGGTTGTCTGTCATGAGAGTCAACTTCCCCATCTTTGGCAGTTACTTGCTCACCAACATTTAAGGATAGAACTCCTCCATCAATTTGACTTGGAAGTGATCCAAGTATCTTAAGAGTGTCTGTCTCAAGAAAATCATCTAAAGCACCAATCATCTCTTCATCTCTTGGCAATCCTCTTAATTTTGGGGAGCTAACTATTTCTGAAAGAAAGAAAAAAAAAGTCAGTACCAAAAGAGTTTAAAAAAAAGGAAGATTTTCTTTAAAAGGTGAGGAAACGTGCTTACCTTCATACAAAGCTTGACGGGAGGTTTGCCGAGCAGCAGGCGTAGAAAGTGGATGTTGTAAAGAGTCTGGCTCTCTTTGAGGACTTCTGTTGCATTTCTGCTTCTTTGAAGATGGACTAGGGTCTCCAGCATTATTTCGCTTCTAAGAAGGAGACAATAGTGCTTGAAGCTGTTTCCCCTTCCCTTGAGGTTTGATCACTGTGCTCTTCATTAAGGATGGGATGAAATTTCTAGCCTCGCTAGCCTTCAAGAATTGGATGCTCATTGTAGAAATTGAAGGAAAAACTTCTTTATTCCACCACTTCACATAAGCCGGGTCAACCCTAGATGCTACTCCGCCTTCAGTTGAGGGGATATGAAGAAATGTGTTGCTATGTACTCGGGTTAAAGATAACCAAAAGCGATAAAGATCTGACACTTCACCACCGTGAGGCAATTTGACATGTCTTCCTGGAAGTCTTTGTTGAAATCCATGCTGTCTAGCAAATCGGTGAGGATTGTAAGACTTCTTTGTGAAGTAGCCTTCTTGGCGAAGCACCACATAACCTGCTCTAATGCTTACCATGAAATCCAAAGTGTCAGCCCGTCGTTGTCCATCATCAACTCGAGGTCCAGGGTGGGTTGGTAAAGGCACTAGAGTCCAACAAAAGTCGTCTGAGGATAAATTACCTCGTAAAACTGCACGACAATCTGCTACCCTTGGTTCCCAAGGCTGGTAGGCATTCAAAATCCCACGAAATTGCCGAACCATAGGTAGAGAAGCTTCATATCTAGCTGCAAAAGTTGTGTATGGGAAATGCAAACCAATCCAAGCATATAAATAATGTCCAGGAAAAGGAGGAGTTTCAGTTGCATGTACCCATGAACCTTCAGGTACTTTTGTCAATTGTCCAAGTCCACGATTGATGCATGCCAAGATAGGAGGAACCAAGCTATAGGTAACACCGATTGCCATTTAGGCTGCAACTTTGAAAGTTCCGACTTTAACAAATTCTTCTCCATCTGGAAAAACAAATCTACCAAGCCAAACACAAAGATAAGCAGCAATCAAAGGTTTTTCTCTATCATTTACCTCCAAAGTAACATCCAACATGCCAAGTCGATCCCATTGTTCTGGTACACCCCTTAGTTTCCTCTCATGTCCAAATGTCCATTTCAATGGGCGGTCAAGTTTAGGAACTGAAATCATATTCCCATTGCCATCATACTTCAACTCGGACATATCTAGATATCGTTTGCTCTTGAATGGATCGGCATAGGGTGGGTTACTATTATACCAGAAGTCGAGCCAATCAGCATAAGTTACACGCTCAGAATTCTCCCTTTGGACGATCATGGCAAATGCTTTAAACAGAAGTAAGCAGTAAGGTGGTAAGTCCTCTATGAGTTCTTTGTAACTTGGAATCACCTCCTCGTAATATGCTCCTCGTAATATGCTCCTCGAATTGACAAGCAATAAATATCTCGCATCTCCAGGAGAGAAATTCCAACCTCTCCTGCAAAAGTTAAAAAGGTATTTGTACTGGGAGACCATACCTCAATGAGGGTACGAAGCATACTCGAAGGACAACAGTAGTCATTATTGGCCAATGACACTGCATCTACTAAAGCTCCCATCTTGTAACGACTTAGCATCTTGGCTGTGTAGTTTGACCAATCCCAGAAGCCACTTAGGAATGGTATCTTTCCCAAATGATCAATGGATTGACACCATTTGCTCGCTCCTCGACTAATCGACTGTGTTAGGATTGCTTTTGGTGTTGCATGTTCAGTCACATGATTGGATGGAAGCACCAAGGACGGGAGAGATCCAGCATGGCTTGCTGTTGAAGCTTTTCCTTCCGAGGTCACATATTCACACAACTTGGGCATCTCTAATGCAGGTAGATGAGAAAGTCCTTCGATGGCATAGGGACCACTGGTTGACTCAAGCACCATAAGTTGAAGCTCTTTAGCCTCTGATGAAGAAGAAGACCGTATGTGAGTTGACGGGAAGTGTAAGAATTGCCCCGCCTCTTCAGGGTTGGACAAATCAGCAATCCAATCACCTTGCAACACCGTAACGATGGAAATCATCTCGGAAGTAGGTTTTTGATTTGGAGCCATGTCTACATAAAGTCATACACAAAAGGTCAAATTATTCATGTTAAGTTCATGAGTTAAACACAAAGTGGTGCATGCAGCAAGAATTTTGGGGCCAAGACTTGTTGAGTCTAAGAAAAAATGCTACTCAAGTTGTTGCCTATGGAAAGGACTTGATTGGGGTGAATCACAAATTAAGTGACTAAATCACAAAATTATAGAAAGTTGGAGGACAGCAGTAAAAAAAAAGGGGTTCAAGGATCGGATTGCAGTTTTCCCAAAAAAAAAAAAAGAAGGAAAATTTTGCATTATTCTTGAAGAAAACCCGACACGGACAAACTTGATATGCATGAACAGAGTGTTGACACCTCGATTTCTGTGTTGGCCCTTATGTAAATGATTTTGATCCAATAATGCTGGACTATACAGGAAAGGAGGCCCAAATGAAAGACTGCATTCGGTCAGTTTTAAAAAAAATGGAACAATCTTTACTGGATTATATTGTGGGAAAATAGTGCATAAAATTCTTCAAAAAATCACAATATCTGGGTAACCAAAT